CTCCTCCTCCTCTTCCTGGTCGTCCTCCTCCTCCTGGTCGTCCTCCTCCTCCTGCTCGTCCTCCTCCTCCTCCTGCTCGTCCTTCTTCTCCTGCTCCTCCTGCTCCTCGTCCTGCTCCTGCTCGTCCTCGTCCTCCTGGTCTTGCTCGTCCTCCTCCTCGTCGTGCTCTTGCCCCTGCTGAAAATGTGGCCCCGGAATGGGAGTTCTGGGAAGTCGAAGAGCACGAAGTTGCCTACAGTTGGGTACGGGCATTCAAAATGTGGCCCGGGAATGGAGTTCTGGGAACTCGAAGAGCACGAAGTGGCCTACAGTTGGCTCCGGGCATCAAAATGTGGCCCGGGAATGGAGTTCTGGGAACTCGAAGAGCACGAAGTGGCCTACAGTTGGCTCCGGGCATTCAAAATGTGGCCCGGGAATGGAGTTCTGGGAACTCGAAGAGCACGAAGTGGCCTACAGTTGGCTCCGGGCATCCAAAATGTGGCCCGGGAATGGAGTTCTGGGAACTCGAAGAGCACGAAGTGTGTACAGTTGGCTCCGGTTATTCTAAATGTGGCCCGGGAATGGCGTTCTGGGATCTCGAAGAGCACGAAGTGTGTGACTGTTGCATCCGGGTATTGAGAATGTGGCCTGGGAATGGAGTTCTGGGAAGTCGAAGAGCACGAAGTGTGTGACTGTTGGTGAAAAACGAGCCCGGCACCTGCCGCCCGGCAACTCCCAACACCTGCCCAGACCCCCCTGTGGAGTGATCTGCTGCTCTCTTTTGATCCCACTAGAAACCTATCAGTCTTCGCTGTTAGGTAAAAATCCACCTGGGGCTTCGGCATGTCCCTCCGGCCACCCGGAAAAGTGCATAAAAGGTGGCTGCAAAAGGTTTTTCGCCTCCAGACGGCTCCAAGATGGCCTCCGAAATGACCACGATGGCCAAAGATGGCCTCCAAGTTCGCCCAAGATGGTCCAAGATGGCCTCGAAGACTGCCCACGAGGGTCCAGGATGCCTCCAAGTTCGCATAAGAAACACCTGCGACGGCCCAAGACGGCCCCAGAGGCCTCCAAGAGGCCTCCAAGACGGCCCACGAGGCCTCGAAGAGGTCCTCCAGGGTCCTCAAGGAAGGCCCGAAGAGGTCAAATTCACGGATGTTCCTGAGGTTTTTGAACAGCTCCTTTCCGAATTCCGACGGCCCCAGACTGCCCAATAGGCCATCAAGATCGCCCCAAGAGTGCCCAAGAAGCCTCCAAGACGGCCCAAGAGGCCCCCAAGACGGCCCCAAGAAGGCCCCAAGACGGCCCAAGAGGCCCCGAAGAAGCCCCACCAAGATGGCCTCCAAGATGCCTCCAAGACGGCCACGATGGCCTCCAAGACGACCAAGATGGCCCCAATATGCACGCAAAACGGCCCAAGATGGCCTCAAGATGGCCTAAGACGGCTTTGTAGGCCCGCAAGAGGCCTCCAAGACGGCCCACGAGGCCTCGAAGTGGTCCTCCAGGGTCCTCAAGGAAGGCCCGAAGAGGTCAAATTCACGGATGTTCCTGAGATTTTTGAACAGCTCCTTTTCGAATTCCGACGGCCCAAGACTGCCCAATAGGCCATCAAGATCGCCCCAAGAGTGCCCAAGAAGCCTCCAAGACGGCCCAAGAGGCCCCCAAGACGGCCCCAAGAAGGCCCCAAGAAGGCCCAAGAGGCCCCGAAGAAGCCCCAGATAGCCTCCAAGACGGTCAAGATGGCCTCCAAGATGCCTCCAAGACGGCCACGATGGCCTCCAAGACGACCAAGATGGCCCCAATATGCACGCAAAACGGCCCAAGATGGCCTCAAGATGGCCTAAGACGGCCTTGTAGGCCCGCAAGAGGCCTCCAAGACGGCCCACGAGGCCTCGAAGAGGTCCTCCAGGGTCCTCAAGGAAGGCCCGAAGAGGTCAAATTCACGGATGTTCCTGAGGTTTTGAACAGCTCCTTTTCGAATTCCGACGGCCCAAGACTGCCCAATAGGCCAGCAAGATCGCCCCAAGAGTGCCCAAGAAGCCTCCAAGACGGCCCAAGAGGCCCCCAAGACGGCCCCAAGAAGGCCCCAAGACGGCCCAAGAGGCCCCGAAGAAGCCCCAGATAGCCTCCAAGACGGCCAAGATGGCCTCCAAGATGCCTCCAAGACGGCCACGATGGCCTCCAAGACGACCAAGATGGCCCCAATATGCACGCAAAACGGCCCAAGATGGCCTCAAGATGGCCCAAGACGGCCCCAGAGGCCTCCAAGAGGCCTCCAAGACGGCCCACGAGGCCTCGAAGAGGTCCTCCAGGGTCCTTAAGGAAGGCCCGAAGAGGTCAAATTCACGGATGTTCCTGAGGTTTTTGAACAGCTCCTTTTCGAATTCCGACGGCCCAAGACTGCCCAATAGGCCATCAAGATCGCCCCAAGAGTGCCCAAGAAGCCTCCAAGACGGCCCAAGAGACCCCCAAGACGGCCCCAAGAAGGCCCCAAGACGGCCGAAGAGGCCCCGAAGAAGCCCCAGATAGCCTCCAAGACGGCCAAGATGGCCTCCAAGATGCCTCCAAGACGGCCACGATGGCCGCCAAGACGACCAAGATGGCCCCAATATGCACGCAAAACGGCCCAAGATGGCCTCAGGATGGCCTAAGACGGCCTTGTAGGCCCGCAAGAGGCCTCCAAGACGGCCGAGAGCCCTCCAAGAAGTGCTCCAGGAAATAGGGTTAACCTTATTGATTTCCGTTTGGCTTTTGAACAATTTGTGCTGTTGCTCCTGTTCAACTCTCCGACGGCCCAAGACGGCATAAGCGGCCCCCAACATCGACCCAAGAGCGCCCCAGAGGCCTCCAAGATGGCCCCAAGACAGCCCCAGAGGCCCCCAAGACGGCCCCAAGAAGGCCCCAAGACGGCCGAAGAGGCCCCCAAGACGCCCAAGATGGCCTCCAAGACGGCCAAGATGGACTCCAAGATGCCTCCAAGACGCCAAGATGGCCGTCAAGACGGGTTCGATGGCCCGAAGATGCACCGAAGACGGCCCAAGACTGCCGCAAGATGGCCTATGACGGCCCTGTAGGCCCGCAAGAGGCCTCCGAGACGGCCCAAGAGCGCTTCAAGGCGTCCTCCAGGAAGGCCCGACAGGGTTAAACTTATTGATTTGTCTTTGGTTTTGGGAGGATGTGGCCATTTCTTCTTTTCAGCTCTCCGACGGCCCACGACGGCCCAAGAGGCGCCCAACATCGTCTCAAGAGCGCCCAAGAGGCCTCCAGGATGGCCCCATGACAGCCCAAGAGGCCCCAAAGAGGGCTCCAACAGGAAGCCAAGACGGCCCAAGATGGCCCCCAAGACAGCCAAGATGGCCTCCGAGACGCCCAAGATGGCCTCCAAGATGCCTCCAAGACGCCCAAGATGGCCTCCAAGACTGCCAAGATGGCCCCAAGATGCACCCAAGACGGCCCCAGATGGCCTGAAGATGACCTTAGACTGCCCAAAAGGCCCGCCACAGGCCTCCAAGACAGCCCAAGACCCCTCCAAGACGTCCTCCAGGAGGCCCCAAAGCTCGGAAACCACCAGGTCCGTTAGCTCGCCCGACTCCGTGTTCACCGAAGGCTTTCGAAACCCACTCGGGGAACGCGTGGCCCGATAGCTTGGCCAAGCTCAAACCAAACTTTCGGCCACGCAGGCGCTTCCAAAAAGGCAGGGGGCGGCGGTGATTCGCCGTAGGCGTCTTCGATCCGCCGCCCCGTGTTGCTTTATCACAGGGGTGTCCGGCGTGCTGAACGTCTGATGGTCTTGGTTCTTTCGAAGATTCCCCCTGGGGCTTCTGCTCATTGCGCCGGCCAATTTGACAGCTCCCACATTTCGGTCTCCATCGGCCCCATCGGCTCCAAGACTGCCAAGATGGCCTCCAAGATGCCTCCAAGACGGCCAAGATGACCTTGAAGTTCGCCCAAGATCGTCCAACATGGCCTCCTAGATGGTCCAAGAGTCAAAAATGACTCCAGATCTGCCAGAGAAGCCTCCAAGACGGCCCAGGAGGCCCCCAAAGAGGCCTTGAAGACGGCCCAAGAGGCCCCCAGAGCGCCTAAGATACCTCCAAGATGGCCGCAGGACGGCCCGAGAAGCCCCCACGAAAGCCCAATAGGCTTCTAGGACGGCCATGAGGTCCTCCAAGACGGCCCTGAAGCGGCCCGAAAAGGCCCAAAACGGTCCAGAGAGGCCTTCAAGACGGCTCCCGACGGCCCAGGAACGCCCTAAGGCAGCCAAGGAAGCTCCAGAGAAGCCCTCAAAGGCCCCCAAGAGGCCCAAGGAGGCCCTCAAGAGGCCTCCAAGAGGCTCGCAGGAAGCTCCCAGGAGACCCCAAGAGTGCCCCAAAAGGCGCCCGAAAGGTCTACTACTCTTCCGTCTCTTCTTCCTCATTATCATCCTCCTCATCCTCCCTTTTCCATATTATCCTCATTCATTTTTTCCTCGCGTCTTCCCCGAAGGCTTTCAACGACGGTCGGGGGAACACATGATCCGATAGCTTGGCCGAGCTCTAGCCCAACGTTCGGCCACACAGAGGCGCTTCCAAAAAGGCAGAGAGGCGGTGATTTTCCATGGGCGTCTTCGATAATTGTACCGATGGCGGCTCGAACAAAAAAGACCGTTGCGGACAAGCGTCAACGAGTGTAAAAGATCGGGTGTATGGAAGGAGTACGCTCACTGTAAAGGTTAAACAACTTGAGCTTGACAACTCTGCTGGCCATGAGGCGCTCACATGCGAGCGAAAATAATGGCAGCAAGATGCTCATCCCTCCCTCACGCAACAGCCGATAGGGCCAGCGCCCCACCGACCAAACAAACATTATGAGATGGCCAGGGTACACTTTGCCGCCTGGCCTCTCAGCTTGGTGCGTTCTGTTGGAACCGCGCTCCCCCCAACGCCTCCTTTGGGCCTCCCCCCTCCACAAGCGAGGCCCTCTGGAAGCACTCGCGTGCTGGCCTCTGCAGCGGGGCCTGGCCGGCAGCGGCAGCCTCCCCCTCACGCTGGCTCCTCGCCCCTGCAGCCCTTGTGGAAGTTTGCGCAGCAGTACTGGATCTTCCTCGGCGACCACGAGAGCTCCAGGCAATGCATGCAGTGGTGGTAGCCGGCGTCGCAGTCGTACACGCTCCTGTCCGGCTCCGCCGGAGCGTTGGACGGCGGCAGCCCCGAGGGCGGAGGCAGCTCCGAGGGGCAGCCCCTGTTGGCGGTCCTGCAGCAGTACAGCTTCTTCTGGCCAGACCAGCCGCGGACCCACTGCAAAGGATCCAAGTCGTTGTAACCAGCGTTGCAGTCGATCGGACAGGGCGAGGTGGTGACCACTGGCACTGGCGCGGGCATGGTGCTGGGCGCGGGCGGCGTCGTGGGGCACCCCTTGCCCACGTGTAGGCAGCAGAAGACCTTCTTCGGGATGTCCCAACTCATGGCGTCGCCCTGCTGGCAGTCGATCCTCTTCTCCGTCGTCGTGGGTGGGGGCGGGGGCGGAGGCGGCGGAGGCGGCGGGGGCGGCGGGGGCGGCGGCGGCGGCGGAGGCGGCCTGGCGGTCGTCTTCTCGGTGGTCGTGGTGGTGTCGGGCGGCGCCGTGCTCGGCGGAATGTACGGCCTGGTGGTGGTCGTGGTCGTCGTGGTCGTCGTCGTCAAGCCTGGCGCCATCGCGAAGAGCAGGAGAGGCAGCAGGAGCAGCGACAGCCCCAGAGGGAGGAGCAGGCACAGGCAGCAGTTGGGGCCGCGCCCAGGGATGCGGATCACGCCGAACTCGCCCGCGCCCGTGCCCACGTACCTGTAGGTGGTCTCCTGGGCGTAGTCACCCCCTGGGCCCACGTAGCTCAGCACGGTGGTACCGCCCGCCCCGCAGCCGGAGGAGTCGGCGCAGGTCGCGCCGCAGGCGGGGCCACAGCCCATGCACGCGGTGGCCTCAGCGCAGCACCCCGTGCAGCCACCGGCGCCAGCACCGTGCGCGCCGTAGGCGCCGCCCGGGCCGCAGGCGCCACCCGCGCCGCCGAGGCCCCCGCCGTAGCCTCCGAAGAGCCCAGAGCCAAGGCCGCCGCCGTAGCTCCCGAAGCGCCCCGAGCCGAGGCCGCCACCGTAGCTTCCAAAGAGCCCCGAGCCGAGGCCGCCGCCTCCGCCGTAGGCGCCGCCCGCGCCGCCGAGGCCCCCGCCGTAGCCTCCGAAGGGCCCAGAGCCGACGCCGCCAGAGCGGTAGAAGGCCATGGCGCTAGCGGCGCGGTGAAGTGGGGGGGCCGCTGCGGCGGCGGGGCGTGCTGGGAAACTGCGAGGAGAGAAAATGCACAACTGTGCTTCAGCCAAAATGGCTACGGAAGGTGGACGGAAGGAGTGAGAGGATGCTGGGGGAGGAGGAGGAGGAGGAGGCGGATTAGGAGGAGGAGGAGGAGGAGGAGGAGGAGGCGGATTAGGAGGAGGAGGAGAAGGAGGAGGAGGAGGAGGAGGAGGAGGAGGAGGAGCGCCCCCGTGCCTGGTTTCCGTTGTGTCGTCACTGTGCGGGTTCAGACAGGCGGGCCGCCCCTTTGGCGGACCCGCCACCGTGCCATAGGCACAGATTCGTAGGAATCCTCAGTGATTTGCAGTCCTCAATCATGAGCACCAGGCCATCTACATTCAGAGCCCCCGACCCTAACCTCAGGTGGGGCCACGAAGTGTGTGGGGAAAATACCGAGATGGGTTGTGGGGGCGCACGTGGGCGAGCAACGACATATGTACATGTACGCCCTCCGCGGTTTTGCCTGCACGAACGTCCGCGTTGACACGCACTCCAGGGGAAGCTAACCGCGTACGTGTGCATATGTTGCTGGCCTCTGACCACGAAACGTGAACATGGTGTGCCGCATTGGCGCGGGCACGCATGCGGACCCTGCCACTCGGGCCTTCGATGGCGATCCCTGTCTGGCAACAGAACGCGTGAGGGGTGCTCGCGAAATTGGCGAGGGGACGCACGCCAACCCTGCTCGGAAGCCATCGGTGGAGCTCCCTGTGGGGCTACGGAGCGTGTGAGGGGTGTGCCGAAGTGGCCGCGGGGGGCGCGTGCGAACCTTGCCGCAGGAGCCTTCGGCGGAGCTCCCTGTGGGGCGAAGAACCGTGTGAGGGGTTTGCCGAAGTGGGCGTGGGGGCGCATGAGCTTTCGGTGGAGTTCCCGGTGGGGCCACGAAGCGTGTGAGGGGTGCACCGACATGGGCATGGCCCGGCATGCGAACTCTGCCACTTGGGCCTTCGGTGGTGCTCCTGTGGGGCCACGAAGCGAGGCTAGGGTGTGCCGACCTGGACACACGGAGGGCAGAGTCAGGAGGGAGGAGCGCGGCGCTGCTGATTCAAAACGAGGACCCACCACCACAGGCTGGCTGGGGAAAACGTGGGGACATCCTATGGGCTCGCAAATTTTGCACTCTCAGCCCTGACATCTGCAAAGATGAAGGGCGGGACATTGTTGATGGACGGCAGGGGACTCCCGCGCAGGCACAGCGCGCCAAAACGCTTAACCGAATCCGCCACCGTGCCCATGCGGCACGGCGTGGAGTGTCCTCGGGCCCCTTCCTCGATCCCCTGAACCTCAGCAGATTTGGCGAAATCGCCACGCCAAATCTGCTGGGGATCCCCGCGTGCCCTCTGGGACCCCTCGCGGCGTCTCGCATCACGTTGTCGGGCCAAAAAAGACCCCAAGAGCGCGTTTTTTTTTTATGTTCGGCGATGACGGGCGTCATGGGTGGGGGGGGAGGGGGGGGGGGCGAAGGGGGGGGTATGTCGTGACGCCCCCCCCGCCGTGTGGCTCCGGCACCGCAGCCGTGCCCGCGCGCGCGAAGCGACGAGCGACGAACAACGACGACGACGACGACGACGATCACGACGATCACGACGACGACGTCGACGACGCGACCAGCATGTAGGTGGCGATCTACCCCACTGCGCCTGTGTACACCACAGCGGTCGCGTGCACCACACCGCGCGTGTATACCACAACGCCTGCGTACACCGCAACAACCGTGTGCAACGCAGCGCCCGTGTACACCACAGTGCTTGCGTACACTACAGCGCTGGCGTACAATGTCACACCGCAACTACCATGTGCAACGCAGCGCCTGTGTACACCACAATGCTTGCGTGCACCGCAGCGCCTGTGCACGCCACAACGCGCGTCTACGCCACAGCACCCGCGTGCAACGCAGCGCTGGTGTACACCACAATGCCTGAATACATAGGGCACGAAGAAGGAGCATGTACGTGAGGATCTGCTGCGGACAACTAGACGCGCCAGGAATTGCTGATAATCGAATGAGACATTCTTCCCTCCTCCCTCTTCCGCCTCCTTCTCCACCTCCACCTCCACCTCCCCCTCCTCCTCCTCCTCCTCATCCTCCTCGTTACCCCCTGTCGTGCGGGTTGGCGCTACAGCGCACGTGCGCATGTCTGCGCGCACCGCAGAATGGTCTATTGAATCGGTCCACCTGGTTCTCGGACGGCCAATTTAGCTGGAACCTTCTGGACGCAAAGGGAGGAGTTAGGGTGATGCGGACGGACTCGGGGGGACACGTAGATTCCAGAGGCGCTCCGTCGTCCATGAAGATTAGTTTATATTGTTTCACTGGAATCCACAAGCGTTCCATTTTGTCGTAAGAATTTGTTCTCACATTCGATCTACAACAATGGTGCTGTGTTGCGCACGGTTGCTGTGGTGCACACAGGCGCCGTGGTGTACACAGAAACTGCAATGCACGCAGGCATTGTGGTGTATACTGGTGCTGTGTTGCACACGGCTGATGTGGTGAACGCAAGCGCTGTGGTGTTCGCAAGAGCTGTTGTGCCCGCAGGCACTGTGGCACAAACTGACGCTGCGTTGCACGCGGCTGCTGTGGTGTACACAGGCGGTGGTGTACACAGGCGCTGCACGTAGGCACTGTGGTGTACACAGGCGTTGTGGTGCAAATCGCCACCCACATGCTGGCGCTACCCGTCCTCCGTCATTCCTAGGCATTCCCAAACGCCGCCAGCGCGAAACGTGACGTCATCGACCCCCTCCATCCCGCCCTAGATGATTGCCGTCATCGGCCCGGAATAAAAAAAAAACAGGCTTCAGCCGTGTCCGCGCGCACGGCGACTATGAGCGACGAGCGACAAGCCACGAGCGACGACGACGACGACGACGACGACAGCGACGACGACTGCGGACCAGACTCCTATGCGGATTCCTACGCGGACACCTACGCGGATCCCAATGCGCACAGCGGCAGTGCTCGGAGCGCACTGGGGGGCAGTGCCCGGAACGCACTGGAGGGGGGAGCGTTACGTCATAGGGGGAGGGGGGGCTGGGGGCCATGACGCCCGTCATGCCCCAAGCACTAAAGAAACGGGCTGCAAGAGGGGCAAGAGGGCCTCAATGGGCCCCCAAGACGGTTTAGGAGGGGTTCGGATCGCCGAACACTCGGTCAAAGACGCCAGAGATGGCTCCCAAAAGGCCGCCGAGGCCGCCAAGACGCCCCAAGAGAGCTCAAAGAGCAACCCCAAGATAGATCCGAAAGGCCAAACTTACTGATCCCCCGTCAAGATTTCAATGTATTCGGAGTTCTCAATTCATCTAGCTTCCGACGCTCCAAGACGTCCCAAAAAGCTCCCAAGACGGCCCAAGAGGTTCCCAAGAGGGCGCCAAGACGGCCCTCAAGAGCCCCAAGAGGGCCTAAGAGGCGCCCAAGACGGCCCAAGAGGGTTCCAAGATGGCCCCACGAGGGGCATCCGAGCCTCCTTAGCCCCAAGAGGTGGCCGGGAGGCTCCAAGAGGCCCCCAAGAGGCCCCAAGAAGCCCCCAATTTGCTGCCACGACGCCCCTAGAGGTAGAGGCCCAACAGAGGCCGCTCCCCACTCCGAGAGGTCCCCAGGAAGGCCCCAAGACGGCCCTGGAGGGTCCCAAGATGGCCCAAGAGGCGCCCACGACAGCCCAAGAGGGTTCCAGGATGGCCCCAAGACTGCCTCGGGGAGGTCCCCGAGAGGCCTCGACGAGATCCCAACGAACATCCAAGAGACCTCAGACCCACAACCCAAACACGGTGGCGGGATGGGCCGAAAAATCCGCTGCTCCCTGTGGTCTTGCCACAAGGGTGCCCGGCGTGCTAGACCCTACTGGTTTTGGTTTTGGCTCTTTTTCCAAAAGATCTCTCCCCTAGAGCTCCGGCCCGTCCCGCCAGCCACCCGAAAGGGACCGCAATCGCGCACAACGTCCGCAAAAAGTCTTCCAAGACGGCTCAAGATGGCTTCCAAGATCGCCACGTTGACCCAAGATAGCCTCCAAGATGCCTCTAAGACGGCCGAGATGGCCTCCAAGACAGCTAAGATGGCCCCAAGCTGCCTCCCAATGCACCCAAAACGGCCTAAGGTAGCCTCAGGATGGCCCACGACGACCCATGAGACCTCCGAGACGGCCCCAGGGGCCTCCGAGAGGCCCCCAGGGTCGCCCCAAGATCGCGCAAGAGGCCTCCAAGATGGCCCCATGACGGCCCAAGATGCCCCCAAGACGGCCCCCAAGACGGCCCGAGAGGCCTCCACGACGCCCAAGATGGTCTCCAAGATGGCCCTGGAGCACCCCCAGAGGGCCCCAAGTCGGTTCAGAGAGGCCCCCACGACGGCTTCCGACGGCGTCCGACGGGCAAGGAGCCCACCAAGAAAGACGGCCCCAAATGGCACTAAGATGGCCCAAGACGGCCCAAGAGGCTCCCAAGAGGTCTCCAAAACGGCCCCAGGGGCCTTCAAGAGTGCCTCCAGGAAGGCCCGAAGAGGCCAACATTATTGAATTCCCAAAAGGGTTTTGAGCTAATTTTGGCATTTACTTCTTGTCGGCCTTCCGACGGCCCGAGACGACCCAAGAGCCCTGGAAGATCGCCCCAAAGGCGTCCAGGATGGCCCCAGAACGGTCCAAGAGGCCCCCAAGACGGCCCCAAGAGGGCCCCCAGATGGCCCGAGAGGCTTCCAAGACGCCCAAGAGGCCTCCGTGACGGCCCTGGAGCACCTCAAGAAAGTTTCAAGTCGGCCCAGACAGGCCCCCAAGACGGCCTCCGACGGCGTCAGACGGGCCAGGAATGCCCTGAGATGGCCAAAGAGGCACCCGAGAAGCCCCCAACGGCCCCCAAGAGGCCCAATGAGGCCCTCAAGAAGCCTCCAAGAGGCTCCCTGGACGCTCCCAGGAGGCCCCAAGAGTGCCCCCAGAGGCTCCCAAGATGCTTCCTCTTCCTCCTCCTCCTCCTCCTCCTCCTCCTCCTCTTCCTCCTCCACCTCCTCTTCCTCCTCCTGATCTGCCCCGCCATCCTATCCCAAAAGTACACCGAAGGGTTTCCACACTGGTTGGAGGAGCACGTGGTCCGATAGCTTCGCAGAGCTCTTGCCACAACGCTCGGCCACATGGGCGATTTCAAAAGGCAAGGGGCGGCGGTGATTCGCCGTAGGCGTCTTTGATCCGCCGCTCCCTGTTGATTTATCACAAAGGCGCCCGGCGTGCTGAACGCCTGATGGTTTTTGCTTCTTTCGAAGTCTCCCCCTGGGGTTTCCGCTCATTGCGCCGGCCACCGGGAAAGCTCCAAAATTTCAGTCTCCACTGGCACCATCGGCTCCAAGACGGCCAAGATGGCCTCCAAGATGCCACCCAGACGGCCAAGATGACCTTCTAGTTCGCCCAAGATGGTCCAAACTGGTCTCCTAGACGGTCCAAGAGGGTCAAAAATGACTCCATATCTGCCCAAGAAGCCTCCAAGACGGCCCTGGAGCACCCCAAGAGGCCTCGAAGACGGCCCGAGAGGCCCCCAAGATCGCCCCGAGAGCGCCCAAGAGACCTCCAAGATGGCCCCAGGACGGCAACCCAAAAGAGGGCCCAGAGGAGGGCCCAAGAAGGCCCAAGAGGCGTCCGTGACGGCCAAGATGTCCTCCAAGACGGCCCTGAAGCGCCTCGGGAGGGCCCCAAGAAGGTCCAGAGAGGCCCAAAAGACGGCTCCCGACGGCGTCAGACGGGCCAGGACCGCCCTGAGACGGGCAAAGAGGCCCCCGAGAAGCCCCCCAAAGGCCCCCAAGAGGCCCAAGGAGGCCCTCAAGAGGCCTCCAAGAGTCTCCCAGGAAGCTCCCAGGAGACCCCATGAGTGCCCTAAGAGGCTCCCAAGAGGTCTACTGTTCCTCCTTCTTTTCCTCCTCATCCTCATCCTCTTCCTCCTTCTCCTCCTCCTCCTCCTCATCCTTCCTTTTCATTCTTATCCTCACTGTCTTCTTCCTCGCGTGTTCCCCGAAAGCTTTCAACGACGGTCGGGGGAACACATGATCCGATAGCTTGGTCGAGCTCTAGCCCAACGTTCGGCCACACAGAGGCTTGCAAAAAGGCAAGGGGCGGCGGAGATTCGCCATCGGCGTCTTCGATAAGTCCACAGATGGCGGCGCGAGCAAAAAAACGTTGCGGAAAATCGTCCGCGAATAACTACGATCGGGTGTACGGAAAGAGTACGCTCACTGTGAAGGTTAAATAACTTGAGCTTGACAACTCTGCTGGCCACTAGGCACTCACATGCGAGCGAAAATAATGGCAGCAAGATGCTCCTCCCTCCCTCACGCAACAGCCGATGGGGCCAGCGCCCCACCGACCAAACAAACATTATGAGATGGCCAGGGTACACTTTGCCTCCTGGCCCTCTCCGCTTGGTGCGGTCTGTTGGAATCGCGCCCCCCCCCAAAACGCCTCCTTCGGCTCTCCCCCCTCCACAGGCGAGGCCCTCTGGAAGCACTCGCTTGCTGGCCTCTGCAGCGGGGCCTGGCCGGCAACGGCAGCCTCCTCCTCACGCTGGCTCCTCGCCCCTGCAGCCCTTGTGGAAGTTTGCGCAGCAGTACTGGATCTTCCTCGGCGACCACGAGAGCTCCAAGCAATGCATGCAGTGGTGGTAGCCAGCGTCGCAGTCGTACACGGTCCTGTCCGGCTCCGCCGGAGCGTTGGACGGCGGCAACCCCGAGGGCGGAGGCAGCTCCGAGGGGCAGCCCTTGTTCGCGGTCCTGCAGCAGTACAGCTTCTTCTGGCCAGACCAGCCGCGGACCCACTGCAAAGGATCCAAGTCGTTGTAACCAGCGTTGCAGTCGATCGGACAGGGCGAGGTGGTGACCACTGGCACTGGCGCGGGCATAGTGCTGGGCGCCGGCGGCGTCGTGGGGCACCCCTTGCCCACGTGCAGGCAGCAAAAGACCTTCTTCGGGATGTCCCAACTCATGGCGTCGCCCTGCTGGCAGTCGATCCTTTTCTCCGTCGTCGTGGGTGGGGGCGGGGACGGAGGCGGCGGAGGCGGCGGGGGCGGCGGGGGCGGCGGCGGCGGGGGAGGCGGCCTGGCGGTCGTCTTCTCGGTGGTCGTGGTGGTGTCGGGCGGCGCTGTGCTCGGCGGAATATACGGCCTGGTGGTGGTCGTGGTCGTCGTGGTCGTCGTCGTCGAGCCTGGCGCCATCGCGAAGAGCAGGAGAGGCAGCAGGAGCAGCGACAGCCCCAGAGGGAGGAGCAGGCACAGGCAGCAGTTGGGGCCGCGCCCCGGGATGCGGACCACGCCGAACTCGCCCGCGCCCGTGCCCACGTACCTGTAGGTGGTCTCCTGGGCGTAGTCGCCCCCTGGGCCCACGTAGCTCAGCACGGTGGTGCCGCCCGCCCCGCAGCCGGAGGAGTCGGCGCAGGTCGCGCCGCAGGCGGGGCCGCAGCCCATGCACGCGGTGGCCTCGGCACAGCACCCAGTGCAGCCACCGGCGCCGGCACCGTGCGCGCCGCCTCCGCCGTAGGCGCCGCCCGGGCCGCAGGCGCCGCCCGCACCGCCGAGGCCGCCGCCGTAGCCTCCGAAGAGCCCAGAGCCAAGGCCGCCGCCGTAGCTCCCGAAGCGCCCCGAGCCGAGGCCGCTGCCGTAGCTCCCGAAGAGCCCCGAGCCGAGGCCCCCGCCTCCGCCGTAGGCGCCGCCCGCGCCGCCGAGGCCCCCGCCGTGGCCTCCGAAGGGCCCAGAGCCGACGCCGCCGGAGCGGTAGAAGGCCATGGCGCTAGCGGCGCGGTGAAGTGGGGGGGCCGCTGCCGCGGCGGGGCGTGCTGGGAAACTGCGAGGAGAGAAAATGCACAACTGTGCTTCAGCCAAAATGGCTACGGAAGGTGGACGGAAGGAGTGAGAGGATGCTGGGGGAGTAGGAGGAGGAGGCGGATTAGGAGGAGGAGGAGGTGCAGGAAGAGGAGGAGGAAGAGGAGGAGGAAGAGGAGGAGGAGGAGGAGGAGGAGTGCCCCCGTGCCTGGTTTTCGTTGTGTCGTCACTGCACGGGTTCAGACAGGCGGGCCGCCCCTCTGGCGGACACGCCGCCGTGCCCTAGGCCCTCATCGTGCCCAGATTCGTAGGAGTCCTCTGTGGTCTTCACGTCCTCAATTATGAGCACCAGGGCCTCTACATTCAGAGACCCTGACCCCAACCTCAGGTGGGGCCACGAAGTGTGTGGTGAGGGTACCGAGACGGGTTGTGGGGACGCACGAAACGTGAAGGGTGTGCCGAATTGGCGCGGGCACGCATGCGGACCCTGCCACTCGGGCCTGCGATGGCGATCCCTGTCTGGCAACGGAACGCGTGAGACGTGCTCGCGAAATTAGCGAGGAGACGCACGCCAACCCTGCTCGGAAGCCCTCGGTGGAGCTCCCTGTGGGGCTACGGAGCGTGTGAGGGGTGTGCCGAAGTGGCCGCGGGGGGCGCATGCGAACCCTGCCGCAGGAGCCGTCGGCGGAGCTCCCTGTGGGGCGACGAAACGTGTGAGGGGTTTGCCGAAGTGGGTGCGGGGGCGCATGAGCTTTCGGTGGAGTTCCCGGTGAGGCCACGAAGCGTGCGAGGGGTGCACCGACATGGGCATGGCAAGGCATGCGAACTCTGCCACTTGGGCCTTCGGTGGTGCTCCTGTGGGGCCACGAAGCGAGGCGAGGGTGTGCCGACCTGGACACACGGAGGGCAGAGTCAGGAGGGAGGAGCGCGGCACTGCTGATTCAAAACGAGGACCCACCACCACAGGCTGGCGAGGGGGAAACGTGGGGACATCCGATGGGCTCGCAGACTTTGCCCTCTCAGCCCTGACAAACTGCAGAGATGGAGGCCGGGACATGTTTGATGGACGGCAGGGGACTCCCGCGCAGGCACAGCGCGCCAAAACGTTTAACCGAATCCGCCACCGTGCCCATGCGGCACGGCGTGGAGTGTCCTCGGGGCCCTTCCTCGATCCCCTGAATCTCAGCTCCCCTCATGAGGGCTCTTGGAGTCCAGACCCGAAATCGCCAAATCTGCTGGGGTTCCCCGCGTGCCCTCTGGGACCTCTCGCGGCGTCGCGCATCACGTTTTCGGGCCAAAGAGGATCCCAAGAGCTTTTTTATGTTCGGCGATGACGGGCGTCATGGGGGGATGGGGGGGAGAGGGGGCGGCGAGGGGAGGGTATGACGTGTCGCCCCCCCCCGCCGTGTGGTTCATGCACCGCAGCCGTGCCCGCGCGCGCGACGCGACGAGCGACGAGCGACGAGCGACGACGACGACGACGACGACGACGACGACGATCACGACGACGACGACAACGTTGACGACGACGACGTCGACGACGCGAGCAGCATGTAGGTGGCGATATGCCCCACTGCGCCTGTGTACACCACCACGCTCGCGTGCACCAAAGCGCGCGTGTATACCACAGCGCCTGCGTACACCGCAACAACCGTGTGCAGCGCAGCGCCTGTGTACACCACAATGCTTGAACCACGCGCGCGCTTCGCGCGCGCTTAGGTTCTGTCGAGTCACAGACCTAGGAATCGTTGTGAGAAGAAATTGGTGACGCGAAGCGTCGTGGGGGCGTCCTTGGACGTCTGGGGTCTCCTGGGGCCTCTTGAGGGGCCTCCTGGGGGCCTCTTGGCGGCCTCTTGGGGCGGAAGGCTCGAGCTTGCGGTTCGTGGTCCCCCTCTGGGGACCCTCTTGGGCCCGTCTTGGGGCCCTCTTGGGCCATCTTGGGCGCCTCTTGGGCCGTCTTGGGGCTCTATTGGGCTGTCCTTGGGCCTCCTTTGGGCCTCTTGGGGGTCTCCTGGGGCCTATTGAGGGGCCTCCTTGGGGCCTCCTGGCGGCCTCTTGGGGCGGAAGGCTCGAGCTTGCGGTTCGTGGTCCCCCTCTGGGCACCCTCTTGGGCCAGTTTCGGGGCCCTCTTGGGCCATCTTGGGCACCTCTTGGGCTGTGTTGGGGCCCTCTTGGGCTGTCCGGGGGCCCTCTTGGAAGCTTCTTGGGCCGTCTTGGGGCGGTCTTGGGCGCCTCTTGGGCCGACCTGTAACGTCGGAAAGCCCAAAAGGCGACTTTGTGACAAATGTACGTTTTACAAAGGGAATGGGCGAATTTTCGGTCTAGGGGCCCTCTTGGGACGCATGTTGGAGGCTTCTTGGGGCGTCTTGGGGGCGTCCTTGGACGTCTGGGGTTTCCTGGGGCTTCTTGAGGGGCCTCCTTGGGGCCTCCTGGCGGCCTCTTGGGGCGGAAGGCTCGAGCTTGCGGTTCGTGGTCCCCCTCTGGGCCCCCTCTTGGGCCCGTCTTGGGGCCCTCTTGGGCCATCTTGGGCGCCTCTTGGGCCGTCTTGGGGCCCTCTTGGGCTGTCCTGGGGCCCTCTTGGAAGCTTCTTGGGCCGTCTTGGGGCGGTCTTGGGCGCCTCTTGGGCCGTCCTGTAACGTCGGAAAGCCCAAAAGGCGACTTTGTGAAAAATGTACGTTTTACGAAGGGAATGGGCCAATTTTTGCGTCTAGGGGCCCTCTTGGGACGCATGTTGGAGGCTTCTTGGGGCCTCTTGGGGGCGTCCTTGGACGTCTGGGGTCTCCTGGGGCCTCTTGAGGGGCCTCCTGGGGGCCTCCTGGCGGCCTCTTGGGGCGGAAGGCTCGAGCTTGCGGTTCGTGGTCCCCCTCTGGGCCCCCTCTTGGGCCCGTCTTGGGGCCCTCTTGGGCCATCTTGGGCGCCTCTTGGGCCGTCTTGGGGCCCTCTTGGGCTGTCCTGGGGCCCTCTTGGAAGCTTCTTGGGCCGTCTTGGGGCGGTCTTGGGCGCCTCTTGGGCCGTCCTGTAACGTCGGAAAGCCCAAAAGATAACTTTGTGAAAAATGTACGTTTTACGAAAGGAATGGGCCAATGTTTGCGTCTAGGGGCCCTCTTGGGACGCATGTTGGAGGCTTCTTGGGGCCTTTTGGGGGCGTCCTTGGACGTCTGGAGGCCATCTTCAGCATCTCGGAGCCCTCTTGGAGGCATCTTGGAAGTTTCTTGGGCCGTCTTGGGCGCTCCTGGGGCCGTCTTGTCTGACCGGGGAGGCCTCCGGCAAGCCCCGACGAGCCTCCGGGCCCCCCGGAGCCTTTGCGGTCGGGGTCCCGGCCCTGGGCCCCCGGACCCGGTGCGCCGATATATGTATATGTTTGTGTACACTACAGCGCTGGCGTACAATTTCACACCGCAACTACCATGTGCAACGCAGCGCCTGTGTACACCACAATGCTTGCGTGCACCGCAGCGCCTGTGCACGCCACAGCGCGTGTCTACACCACAGCACCCGCGTGCAACGCAGCGCTGGTGTACACCACAATGCCTGAGTGCATAGGACACGTAGAGGAACATGTACGTGAGGATCTGCTGCGGACAATTAGACGCGCCAGGAAATTGCTGATAATCGAATGCGACGTTCTTCCCTCCTCCCCCCTCCGCCTCCTCCACCTCCACCTCCTCCTCCTCCTCCTCCTCCTCCTCCTCCTCGTCCTCCTCCTCATCCACTCCCTCGTTACCCCCTGTCGTGCGGGTTGGCGCTACAGCGCACGTGCGCATCTCAGCGCGCACCGCAGAATGGTCGATTGAATCGGTCCATTTGGTTCTCGGACGGCCAATTTAGCTGGAACCTCCTGGACGCAAAGGGAGGAGTTAGGGTGATGCGGACGGACTCGGGAGGACACGTAGGTTCCACTGGCGCTCCGTCGTCCATAAGGATTATTTTGTATTGTTTTCAGTGGAATCCACAGGCGCTCCATTTTGTCATAATGATTTGTTCTCACATTCTATATACAACAATGGTGCTGTGTTGCACACGGTTGCTGTGGTGCACACGGGTGCCGTGGGGTACACAGGCACTGCAATGCACGCGGGCATTGTGGTGTACACTGGTGCTGTGTCGCACATGGCTGATGTGGTGAACGCAGACGCTGTGGTGTGCACAAGAGCTGTTGTGCCCGCAGGCACGGTGGCACAAACTGACGCTCCGTTGCATGCGGCTGCTGTGGTGTACATAGGCGGTGGTGCACACAGGCGCTGCACGCAGGCACTGTGGTGTACACAGGCGTTGTGGTGCAAATCGCCACCCACATGCTGGCGCTACCCGTCCTCCGTCATTCTTAGGCATTCCCAAACGCCGCCGGCGCGAAACGTGACGTCATCGACCCCCTCCATCCCCCCCTGGATGATTGCCGTCACCGGCCCGGAATAAAAAACAGGCTTCAGCCGCGTCCGCGCGCACGACGACTATGACTATGAGCGACGACCGACAAGCCACGAGCCACGAGCCACGAGCCACGAGCCACGAGCCACGACGACGACGACGACGACGACGACGACGACGACGACGACGACGACGACGACGACGACGACGACGACGACGACGACGACGACTGCGGACCAGACTCCTATGCGGATTCTTACGCGGACACCTACGCGGATCTCAATGCGCACAGCGGCAGTGCTCGGAGCGCACTGGGTGGCAGCGCCCGGAGCGCACTGGAGGGGGGACCCAAGAGGGCCCAAGAGGCGCCCAACACGGCCCAAGAGGGTTCCAAGATGGCCCCACGAGGGGCATCCGAGCCTCCTTAGCCCCAAGAGGTGGCCGGGAGGCTCCAAGAGGCCCCCAAGAGGCCCCAAGAAGCCCCCAGTTTGCTGCCACGACGCCCCTACAGGTAGAGGCCCAACAGAGGCCGCTCCCCACTCCGAGAGGTCCCCAAGAGGGCCCCAAGACGGCCCTGGAGGGTCCCAAGATGGCCC